ATATATATATATATTCTATAATAGAATATTCAATTATTCAAACATTTAAAAAAATAATAAAATAAATAAAAATGTGTATCTACTGTGGGGGAAAAAAAATGTCTACATTGTTCTTTTAAATGGATGGTTGTGTTATAATTTGATAGATAAATGGATTTATTAAGTGAGCACACAGGGTCAGGCTGACGCACACACTCGCACATTCACAGCCAGCTTTATTATTTTCCTTTCAGTCTATCCCATCAGCTCAGCTGTAAATTAGCCATGCTCATTTCTCTCCCTGAACTCATTTTACACTCACGGAGCGTCACCGCCAGGGGTCATTCTCCTCACAAACAGCAGATGTCACTGAATTATTGATATTATTTAAACTTTTGTAAAATGCATGCATTTCAGTTCAGCGGGCCTTTTAGTAGGGCGTTAGTTAGAGAGGTTTGTTTGCATCTAAAGGGTTTATCAGCTCTGCTGCCGGAACATAAAATAGGAACTGGCGTGATGCTCGACTTTTGCTGTTTTTTTATTTTTCTGTTGTGAGGCAGCCAGAGTTTTCCATCCTTCATTGTTTTACCCTGCGTTATCTCTGCGAGTAGTGCAGCTTGTTTGTTGCCAGTGTTTTTCTCTGGGCATCTGTCCATTGCTCGTCAGTCAGGAGATGTTTTTTTAGCTTGGTTTTTGTTTCTCAACCGACACGCTAATAGAGATATTGTCAGTGCGGGGAAACAAACATCAAATCATCTGATAATGTCGTAACAACGGGCCTGACAGACTTTCGTGTCAGTGGAGAACGTTCTGGAGCGGCTGAGGTTTAGCCATAAAAATATGCCTTGTTGCCAAGCAACACTGACAATAGGAAACACAGGTAGAATATGTGGGAAAGGAGTTTGGAAAATAGCAAACTATTGTTGCTCACCGTCACCTGATTACACCTGTTTTGCTTAACATTGGCCAAAAACTTTTTTTACACAGCAGTGATCCTTTTGACTATTTCAAATAGATTGTTTTGTCTTTTTCTTCATCTTCATATACGGTATTATTTCATACGCCTGCCAGTGGAGTTATATGACCATCTCAGTGATTCATCCTTCATCCGACAGACATGGAGCTCTACATCGTTATGATGCTGAAACAGAGTACTGTAGCTGATCTTTCTGCAGACACTTTTGCTAACCACTAGGATGCAGTCTTGTGCAGTGGAAACGAGGTACACTAAGGAAAATGGGCTGAACCTTTTTTTTTTTAAGGTGCAGTGTCAGCTTCAGTTTCAGAAAATATAATTTTGTTGTTTGCGCTTTGATAACCGAGGAGCATAATCAAATATCACCTTTGAATAATTGTGGAAATTCCTGCATTGCATAAGCAGTGATTGAGGCAATGAGCTGTTTCACACTAATTACGTAAACAAAAAGACAATACTGTGGCTGTATTTTCCAGCTTGCTGTGGTCATGCCAACACTGAGCATCATGAACTTTATCTTTTGAGCATCGTTTCATTATTAGCAAACCCCTCAGGCCTCCTCAACAGAAGATGATTTCATTTGGTGACACAAAATGATGATTCAGCACTCTGTGCATGTTTGTTCATGTGTGGGGTTATACTTTGCATGTCTGTTTGAATTTATGCATGATTTACTGTACAGGCATATGGATTAGAAGACGAGCAATGCATATAAACCTCTGATTTTTGTATAAATTACCATATTTTAAGGACATAGCAATCGACATTTCTACAAAGGAGTTTTCCAAACTGCATGCTGAGTACCGGTGTCATGCTAACAAACTCCTGTCACGATGATGGTGATAACCCTTTATTCATTTATTCAGCATCGTTTTGGATGCAGTTCAACATTAACTTTAGCTGACGGGGATATAACCTAAGCACAGGTTAGAAGGGTGCTACTTGTCAGGACATTCAGA